TATATATATATATATATATATATATATATATATATATATATATATATATATATATATATATATATATATATATATATATATATATATATATATACATATATACATATATATATATATATATATATATATATATATATATATATATATATATATATATATATATATATATATATATATATATATATATACATATATACATATATATATATATATATATATATATATATATATATATATATATATATATATATATATATATATATATATATATATATATATGTATATATATATATATATATATATATATATATATATATATATACATATATATAAATATATATATAAGCATATATATAAATATATATATATATAAATATATATATATATATTTATATTTGTTTAGCAAATAAGCTAAAAAGTTTTGAGTTGAGCAAAAAAAGGGTGAACTTATGACCGAAAAAAAGTTTTTTTTTTAAATTTTTTTTTAAAAGTATAAACATGTAACGAAAACAAACACCACCAAAAATAAAAAAGAAAGAATAATTAAATGTAATAACAATCAACCAAACAAATGTAAAATTTTATATTTTAAATAGAGAGTTTGACTAGATGTTATTCTTTTTGAATTTTTTTATTTATAATTAGACCATATATCTTTATTGGCAAAGAATTTACTATGACAATATTATTGTTTTGTATAACATAACATAACAATAAAAGATGTTAACGCTTTTTGTCTTCTTATAAAAAATGTATATGCTCCCAAACAGGCCTTCATTTTTCACAGTGCAGTAGTGATTTAGAACCAATAATGTCAATCGGGAGAAAAAAAATCTCCGAAAATAATGATCCGTTATTTTGATTATGAAATATAATATTTATTTATTATATTTTGATGTCTATCTTGTTTTTGTTTCTGTTTCTATGATAGAAGCATGAATTAGACTACTATTATATTTAAAAGAACCTTCCCATGGTACTTTTGTTTGCAGTGATCACCTTAACCTCAAGTATGATAAACTTTATTGATGCAGAAGTTTCATTTATTGTTGGGGCAATCAGTTACAATCAGATACTTTTTTTCATTAACAATTTACAGACAAAAATATTTAATGTCTATCAATGAGTGAATTCGTTTGTGTTCGACGCGATATTTGTAATCAAATAATAAGAGGGAAAAGTAGAGATTGCATTTCGAAGTTCGAGAATTCCGGAATTCGTTTTCATAATATAGTTTCGAATTCCGAAAATTTTTCCAACGAATTCCGAAATTAAAATTTATTTTTTCGTGCTCTGTCCAACTTTTAAATTGTGTTTTTTTTTCTTCGCGACATTATGAAAACTGAAATACCATTTGGGGGAAAAATTATCGCTCTCGGTGGCGACTTTCGACAAGCGCCTCCTGTAGTTCCAAAAGCATCCAAGGAATTTATGGTAAAGGCGTAAATCTAGCGATTGCCTTTATGACGTTAGAATATAATATTTTCCGTGTTTCAGTTGTGTTTTTTTTGCATATTACTTTGTAAAGATTCATATCAAGTTCTTGCAAGTACTTTTTAAAGGCCTATGCAGCTGTGGCGCAGTGGTAGCTCAGAAACGTAAGATCCGTGGTTCAAACCCCACCTCTGGTCAAGTTTTGCGATATCGGTTGGGAAGGAGGCGTGAACTTTCTATTAAATGCTCTTCCGCGGTGCTCTGTGATAAGACCGTAAGGACTTCTTGGGGCACCTTAATCAACTTAAAAAAAAAAAAAAAAAAAAAAAGGCCTATCTAACTTTTGGACAGCCAAAACGATTTAATGAATTGATGACTCCTACTGGAGCCGATCCGTCACTATAGGTTTTTACAACAAAATGAATACGTTAATGGAGCACCAAGAGAGGCACTACCAGTGTTGTGTCAATAAATCTAGAAAGTTTTATGTCAAACGAGACATGTTATTATGGGACGAATTATCATTTCCAACCATTCCAGCTGGCATTTGTTTTTAAAAGTTACGTCGTAAATGTATTTTAAATGTCTTTTAAATGTCTTCTAAACATTCTTACGTAAATAACGTTTAAAAGACGTTTAAAAAACGTTTAAAAGACATTTAGAACGTAACTTTTAAAAACAAATCCCCGTAGGGATAAGTCACAAAGGAATCTGTCTTGTTCAAAGTTGAGCCATTTCTCCTAGAAAAGGCTTAATTTCTGAACAATATTCATGTTAACAGATGAGAAAATGACAAATTCCGAAAAAGTAAAGAAACTTTCAAGGAAATGTTTGACATTTGCTCATGCGTATGCTACGATAGAGGTATTGACCGCCAAGATCATAAATGCGACATAAAAGTACCTGTTTTAGAATCGGAAGATTTTAAAGGGTAAAAGAAGAGAACGAACCGATTAGAATTTATTGATAAAATTGTTTCAACACAAAAGAAAAGAACTTATGAAAGGAAACAAAAAAAGCGTGCTGAACAGAAATGATTGGGACTAAAACAACTTTTTTTTCTATTTATTTAACCATAAAGTATCAAAAATTTACAAAAATATGTTATAAACTTACATGAATAAGGTTAGGTGTCACTCATATAGTTAAAAACTAGTCAATGACTTTTAAAGAAACTTCTTTTGAATGTAATAGTAGTACCTCAAAAGAAAATTTACTTTCCAGTGATAAAATGGCTATGAAACAAAATAGGTTTTGCTATTCTAGACTTGCCGCCAAATCATATTACTACAGAGTTAGCAATCTTGCAACAGCAACAATAGTAAATGCAGCATTGCAGGACATGGGTTTTTTAAATGAATCAAACACTCAGGATTGAAAAAAAGTAGAACGGGAAAGATTCAAATTTGGGAAAACAAAATTTAAAGCTCTACAAAGATAAAAAAATGGTTTTGAAATAATTGGATTCGATGAAAGAGTTTATAAAACTTTAACCTAGAATGGTTCCGTCAGAGAAGAGCACTATGTTCTTGTTAGTTACCCGCAAGGCCAATACATTGACCATGTAACTCCGAGAAACAGGAAAGCTATCAGCATTGCTGAAGAAATTACTTCATGTGTTATTGAAAAAAATAGCACAAAAAAAATAAAAGCAATTTTATTTGAACTCCTGTAAACACCGGTAGAATCAGTGGAGTAAATAAACGAATTAAATTGTTTATTGAACGACGATTACAGTGGTTAATTTGTTTATCGCATTTGAATGAACTGCCTTTTCGACATATATTTTCTGAAATAGATACTACAAGTAGTGGACCAACAAATTTTTTATGGTCCGATAGAAGAACAGCTACTTGAAGATTTGAATAGAAGACCAATTGTTAATTTTTCTTACTATTTACTTACGGGAAAATTTGGAATTGATTCCTCAGTGATTAGTAACGTAATTAAGTTAAAATCAACGTTATCTACACAAAATGTGTCATTCCATTTCTCCATTTCTTCAGCATCGGTCTCCTGGGTCATTGCACAATACAAAATAGTTGACACGAGCTTACAGAGTATCATTTTTATACGTTTCGACTGTCGATTCTGATGCGGCATTAGTTGATTTCGTTATTATAATTGTAAATGTGAATGCTCCTACTTGGTTTTAAATCAAAATACATGCATCTGCAAATCATGGCTCAAAGAACATTTGGTTTATTGGCAATAAGATTTCTCAAGCCAAAGAACCATACCAGAGTATTATGAAGAAAGTTGTTAATACATATTCTTTTTTGCACATCCGGAAAACATTATTTTAAACATGTTAGCTGATAAACAACAACATGTTCGCAAAACTACAATCAGTAAAATATTGGAAGCACGGCTTACCAAAGAAAATTGAACTACCGGAAACACTTAACATTTTTTCAAATGATTATACTCACATGATAGACTGGAAAAAAGAATTAGTCACACCTTCGTCTTTACTTAGCAATAAAACAGAATCGGAAATTATGGAATATCAAAAAGAACCTTTGCAACTTTTAGACATTCTATGTCACCGCCAAAGTGTTGAAAGACATGTTGCCATTGTTACAATAGCATCAGCTTATCAAATTGGACATGCTAGTCAACATTGTTTAATTTTCAATTCGCTAGATTCTCAAAAAATTATGCTAACATTTGAAAGTAAATGTCAGGAAGCATTCATAAATATGTATTAAATACAATATCTTTTCTTTATTTTTCATTAGAGTGAACTGTTATTTCAAAAATTGACTAAAAAACAATGCTTATGCTTTGATATAATTTTTTTATATATATACTGTTTTACACTTTGTAAATAATTTAAAAAAATAAATCAAAGTTAAAAACCAACTGACGTTTATTAAATGAATCATGATAATTTAGTTTTTTTTCAATAATTTTGGGAAATTTTGTGCAACACAAGGGTTACTAAAATTTCTTTTTCTTTTGAAAATATCTTATCAAGGGCCTAATGAAGTCCCCACACTATGCGGATTTTCAATATAAAATTTTGACCCTCCCTAATATACATACATGATGTGGATAAAATTATTGATCGCTTTAAGGTGGTACTAAAGCTATTATTAAAATGTTAAATAATGTATTATTTAACATTTTAATAATAGCTTAACTATATGCATACAGTAGATGCATGCATTTTAATTAATGTATTAACTATATGCATACAGTAGATGTATGCATATAGTTTAGGATTAAACTTTACTCCTAAACTATATGCATACAGTAGATGATTCTAGTACAACTCCTACATTATTATGGGACCTATGTTATGGTAAAGTTTTGGAGCAAATAAATGGCCCTATCTTGAGATATTGTATTCTGCGTATTTTACTTTTTATGTGTTTTTAGATTTGGGTAAGCGAGGCAAATAAAAAATTTTATTTACAAATTATTTTAAAATTTGTATATTTTAGTTTTTTATATATAAAACTTTTAATTTACAACTTTTAAATACATTATTTAACATTTTAATAATAGTTTTAGTACCACCTTAAGAATTTGCATTTGCGGACTCTAAGGACGCTCAAGGTTTAAATCGGATGCAAAACAGTTAAAAAACTGTGTTTACTTAAAACGAAGCCAGAAATACAAATATTCTCATTTTTTTTTTTTTAGTTTTTAAATAAGTTATCATTATGGCTTCTATATTTGGAAATTTTGTGAGACAAATAAAAACAAAAGATTTTTGGTGGAATTACATTTGCAGGTAATTTACTTCAACTCTTTTCAAGTCTTTTAATATCAAATTTAAACTCTTATTTAAAGAATAGGTTTTAAAGGTCAGTTTTTTAAATGTTTCAAAACTGAAAGACTGAAAGAGTAAAGACTAAAGAATGGAAAAGTTTTGGAAATTATTAAATTTAATTTAATAGAATCGAACTAAACATATAAATCAAGCTTTATTTAAAATTTGTAATTTTTTTTACTTGCCATTTCTTTAAAGTATTTTGGAATAATATTTTTGTATAAATTTTGACAACTTTCTATTTTTTAGCACGGTAAGTCAAGAATTTGGATGCAGGTTATGATTTTGTTTGATTTTCTATGATATATGTATTTATTTATTCGTTTGCATTTATTTTTATATTATAAATGATTTTGTATTGGTTAAGTTTTTTCTAAAACTCAACATATATGCCATTTGATAAGGTTGCTTAAAAGTTTTCAGATATCGTCAGTATTTTACTTGATAAATGTGTCTAGCTCAGTGGTAATAGTAAAGTTTTGCAATATTATAAAATAAACTTATACAAATACATGAAATCAACTTTAAAATCTAATATTATTATTCAAAACATTACTAAAACAAAAGACTATAGTAAAGTATTTTTATAAAAACCTTTCTGCTCAAAATGCCATAAAGTGGTTAAAGCTATAAAATAACACTTTTTTATTTGAAAATGTTCAAAACTTTAAATATTACCATAAACTTTGTATAAAACCCTCAAAGTATTTTTGATTATTATACTCTGAAAGTTTCAATTAATTTGCTTTTATAGTTTTATGATAAAATTAATGCAATACCAAAAAAAGGAATTCTTTTAAAATATTCAAAAAAGTTGTCAAATTTTTTCCTAAAAAATTTGCTTACTACTCTTTTCTAAAAAGAATAGAGTAAATAATAAAATTCTAAAAAATAACAGAATGAATTCTCCATCTTCAACGATAAAATTTTTTCTTATTTGCTTTAACATTTTGTTATTAAACATTTTGTAACAAAGCATTTAAGATTTTCTTTTCCTTTTTGCATCTTATTTTAGTGATATGTAGCTGTTTTAAACAAGCCAGAATTATATTATTAGAATTAATAATAATTAAAGCTGCAAAAATTTGGTTTTTAATGACTATTAAATCTTCTGTGTTGAATCTATACATGCTTTTTCTGTGGTCAGACTTTTTGCAACAACAAAAAAAAAAAAGAAGTTTGACAATAGAACTATTGCTTCCTCAAAATATATTTAATATAAAATATTTAAAAACAGTTGTTTTATCTATAATAATTATGAACTTACATTATTAATATGATAGATACTTAATTATCAAATTACATTTGATAATGAAGTTCATTAATAATAATGAACTTCATTATCAAATGTAATTTGATAATTAAGTATCTATGTTAACAGAGATTCAAAGTCACAAAAAGATTATTTCTTTTTGGTTTTTGGTATTTAGATGCTCCAAAAATGTAAAAAAGCTTATGAGCTTCTTTTGAGTAAAAAATTTAAGGCTTTTAGAGAAACTTTTAGAGAAACAATCACTCTTTGAACCTGAAGCCCTCATGTACAATGGTGGAAAATGGTCCAGGACTCTCGGACTCCAAGCTCAAAAACTAGGGATGCAGAGTCCCAAAAGGACTCCGGCTTTATATCTCCATTTTATTCAGGTCTGTAGTCTTATGGTAGATTATAAGTCAAGTCTTGACTTATGATCTGCCATAAGAAAAATTCATGAGATTTAATTGCTTAGAACTTATTGTTTTTAAGGTCAGAGTCCTCAAGTCCCAGAATACTTTTCACTATTATACCAAGGACTCTGGGTTAATAATAAATTGTTCCTCTTACCTATAAGTCATAAATTTCAAGTCTATAAATTTTTTCCTATTAGTAGTCCATAAACTTATTTATATTTTTAGAGCTCCTGGAAAAAAAAATAGAAAAAAGTAATCTTTTTGTGACTTTAAAATTCGGAGTCTTTTTTGATCCCTGTCAAAAACAATAAGTTCCAAAACAAGAATCAATATTACCACTTTTAGTTCAACTCCTAAAGATATCCATTATGCTAAATACTTTTGTTTTAAACAAAGCATAGATAGTCAAAAAGTTATATCTATTTATCTTGAAAAACTGTGCTACTGCTTTGGCTCCTCTCTTACTAATTTTATGTCAACTAAAATAAGTACTGAATCAATTATATTCAGCAAATATAACTGCACTATATAAAAAGTTACAAGACTGATTTTGGAAACTATAGACCTATATCACTTCTTTGTAATACTTTTAAAATACCTCAAGGCATAATAAAAAACAAGTTATAAAAATAATTTTATAGCTAATCAGCAGCATGGGTTTTTTTAAAAATAGGTTGTGCGCAAAAAGTTATTTGTACTTGAAACTCAGGATTATATTATTAAAAATTAGATACCATTTCACATCAAAGGCTTATCTGAAAGCTTTAAGTATATGGTGTTAGTGACTTGGCAATTAATTGGTTTCAAGCTTTCTTATCTAATAAAAGGAAGTGTGTTTTTATGAAAGATTGCATTTCAACTTGGGCTGAAATGCTGACCCTAACCCTAACCCTAACCCTCAATCAGGTTCTTCAAGGCTTTCTAATGGGTTCACTACTTTTTATTTTTTATTTAATTTTATCTTCCTCTAATGAGTCTCTAAAAAATATTGTATGGTGATTTGGGTGGTCCAACTTTTTTGAAAAAAATCTGCTCCACAACCCTAAATGTGTTCTATATAATACAAAAACACTAGGTTTACAATTTATTTGAATAAAAAATAATTTTAGGGGCAGCCCCTGACTCTTAAACATTTGACCAGTCCCTAATATTTTGAGAAAAAAAGTTCCAAAATGTGTCAACCTTGGTACTCAAAAGAAGCGAAATAATATTAAAAGTTCAAAAATATTAATTAATTTACATAAAATAGATGTTTAAAAAAACTATTTACAAAAAACTTGGAAACTATGAATTTTTTTATTTTCAGCTTAAAAACAACAGTTTTTATGCAATGATGTATAAAAAAATTATTTTTATATAAAAATTATTAATATTTTTTTATTTTTAATATAATTTCTTTACTTTATATACTTTTGAGTACCAAGTTGACATATTTTAGAAAAACTCTTTTTTTCAAAATGTTAGGGACTGGTCAAATATTTAAGAGTTAGGGGCTACCCCTAAAAATATTTTTCATTCTTAGTGTATTATATAGAATAAAAATATTTTTTATTCTATATAATACAAAAACTTAGTGTTTTTGTATTATATAGAACACATTTAGGGTTGTGGAGCAGATTTTTTCCAAAAAATGTTGTTTTTTGGACCACCCTAATGCTGATGACACAAAAATCATGTCATTAGTTCTTCTGATGAGTTATGTAACAATTTACGTGATTTAAAATTTTTATATGCATGGACACAAGATTGGTTGCTAAGTTTTTATATTGACAAAGATTTAGTTATACACTATAGTTATAAAAAAAAAAGAGATCCAAGTTGTATAAATGGTTGTAAACTTAATACATCAGTTTCAGAAAGGGACTCAAGAGTGATATTTTCAGTGGAAAACTTAATGTGAAAATTCACTGCCAGAAAATGTTGTTGAAGCTATTTTAGTAAATTCATATAAATCAAAACTTGATTGATGGGAGTCAAACCATCAGGAGAATTAGGACGCTGTTTTCATTTGTTGAGGTGATTGTCACTCCTAATTATATATGAAGTCATAAAATATAACAATAATATTTTTCTTATAAAATGTCTGCAAATCAAACTTCAAACAAAAATCATAATACAAATTTAAAAATTAATCAGAATTTTATTTGCAAGTTTAACTTAGTAATTTTATTTAGTATAGTTTTGTAATTGTTGTTTTCTCAATTTATTAGTAAAAACCTCATTATGGAAACCAGTTTAATAATAAAAATGTAAAATCTCTTTAACTACCTTACATTTTAGACCATAACTTTTTTTGTAAAATGTGATGACCAGAAGAAATTGTGTGCTTTGATGTGAAATTATGATTTTGTGTTGTTAAGTTGTTTATTGGTTTAGCGGATGATTATTTGAACTAAATAATGTTAGACAAATTTTTTGTATAGATGTCAAATTAGAGTTAAATTTTTTATTATTTAATGGTGATAGTAGTTATCTAGAATTATCTAATCTAATGTTATTTTATTATTTTTGTTCTCTTTCTTGAATAAATAACTTATAGTTTTTTTTGTTTTTTTTTATGTTTATCGCAGCATTTTTGGGGACCAGGTAAGTTTAGATTTATTTGCTTATTAATGTATTAAAATATACTTTGTATATATATATATATATATATATATATATATATATATATATATATATATATATATATATATATATATATATATATATATATATATATATATATAGTCTTGTATGTTAGTCAGAAAGTTTCTTCCATAAACATTAGTTTTAAAGAGAATCCTAATAAACTAGACCAGAAAAAATTTAAAAACTTGAATAAATTATTATTATTTTTTAAATGATAGGTTGCTTGCTTAAACCAAATCCTCAGTCTATGTAGTGGTACCTCCTTGTAACAGCAGGCTGTAATGAACTAATAAAAAGATTGACCTCTTGATTAAGGCTTTATTTAACAATAATTGTACTAATTTAAAGATACAAGAAATAGACACATATAGAAAACAAATAGTTCAATAACAAAAAATAGAAAACACAATAATCTTCCCATCTATGTAGAAAAAAACCCATAAACTAGTTTTGTCATTTTAAAATATAGTCATCATATTTTACAGGAGCTTTACAAGCTCTAGCAGAACGTCGTAATACATCAGCAAATGGCTCAGTTACTGGCTCATCTACCCTAACTCTGATTTCCGATGCAATTTCAGGTGAGGGGTCTTTATTTACATCAAGTACTTTTGCAGTTACATTCTCACTAGGCTCATTGCTACTATTCTCATTGATATCATTAAGCTTTTCTTTTGGGGCAAATAAACCATTTACTTTAAGATTAACCGAACAACAGCCCACTAATCCAGACTCCATTGTTGTGAGGGCCATCAAAATTTTCTATTCACTGGGTTTTACTGGGTTTTAATTTTTAAAGTCTCTATAATTTTCTTGCTTATAAAATTATCTGAGCTACAGGAATCGATTAGTGCAGTTAACGGTTCATCATTAATTCTGATAATAACAGCTGCATAAGAGAGGCTCAACGGACAACCACTTGAAACAGTACACAAACTTGGTTTATGTATTGCAGCTGAAACACTGTGGGTTATATTCATCGGCCTGCCAAGAGAAACTTTGGAAAAATGACCTTTTTTTCCACATTTAAAACAGGTTACATTTTGAGCTGGACAATTTTTCCTAGCAGAGATTTGATTACGTTGGTTGTGAGATTGATTACCACAATAAATGCATTTTGTTTGTGGATTAATAGTCATAGCATTGAGTGCTGCTGAGGGTTCTTCTGGTAATTTTATAGCGGCAAAAATATTTAAATTGGAGGAAAAGGAGGATGTTTTCTGCATATAAGAATCTGAGTTTCTTTGTGCAATGTCAAGAGAAAGAGCCTGGTTAAATGCTGATTGCAAATTTAATGTTGAATTTTCAAGAAGTCGTTGACGAATGTAATTCAAATTTATTCCAGAAATAAAAATATCTCTTATTTGTTCCTCTCGATATTGTTCAGCTGAAACATTCTTGTAATTACAGTTTTTACTGAGTTTACGTAGTTCCTGAAGTAAGTCTTCTAAGGATTCACTCGATGTTTGATGTCTTATAAGTAATTGATGCCTTGCAAAAATTTCATTAGGGGTTTTTATATGTAAGTTTTCTAGGGTTTCAATTACACTTTCATAGGAATCACACTCTTCAATGTAATCATAAACATTTGATGAAACAAAATTAATGATGGAGCGAAATTTGTCTGGAGCATCCTCTCCACAATCCTCAATGAAATTTTCAAATGTTCGTTTCCGATGCTTCCATTCTTTTGAAGCAGTTGGTGCATTATGATCAAGATCAAGCCTCGTCGGTTTTAAGATCTTTGACATTTCCCAATAATTTTATATGTTTGTTAAATAAATTGTAATGAACTAATAAAAAGTTTGACCTCTTGATTAAGGCTTTATTTAACAATTATTGTACTAATCTAAAGATACAAGAAAATAGACACATATATAAAACAAATAGCTCAATAATAAAAAATAGAAAACACAACACAGGCTATAATATAGACGGTGTAGCAACACTCCACGCATGTTTTTAAAATATTAAAAAAAAAACAATATTTGTGTGTGTGTTTGTATAAATTTTTAATGTATTCTACAAAGTAGAGTGCTTTATGTTCCTAAAAAAACAAAGCAATAAATATAGCAATAAATAATAAATTAGTAGAAAATTACTTATCAAATTTATTTGTTTTACTCAGTATTTCAACAATAATGACTCATCAAAAAATCAGATTTCTATTGTGTTTGGTAATTGTTGTAATATGACTTTTTATCAACTTTCTTTACTAATTTTAACATTTTCTTTTTTTACCAATTTTAACATTTTCTTTTTTTACCGATTTTAACATTTTCTTTTTTTACCGATTTTAACTTCTTTTTTTCTGACAATGTCAATTTCATTAAAAGTTTTATTTCCTTGACATAAGAAATAGACTATTTTGATAAACTCTGGATGGTCAACCATTCTGAAAAATGTTGCTTTGTTCTACATTATTGAAAGTCAATATTGTCATAATTTTGTTACAAAATGTCAACACCTGTCTTTTCTTATTAGAGTTAACAAACTTTACATTTGCAAACCAGTCTCTACATTAAAATCTGGTGTTTCTGCAAACCATTTCCGAATTAAATCTATTTTTTTAGCACTAGGTAGTTTTTAGTTAAACTCAGCCCTCGCAATTAGGAAAAATGAGGTCAGCAATAAATTGGCAATCTTAAACTGTTAAAATTTGGCACAAAGGGGTTACTATAAAACATAGAAACCAGGTCAGCAATTTTTTGCTGACTTAATCACATTTTGGTCAGCTGTTAGGTTCGCATTGCCGAATGCCGAACCTAATTCCAAGGGATGTATACTATAATTTAACTTAACCTAAAAACACAAACAATTTTCCGGATTTTTAAAATATGGTCTGGATAATCTATGTATATATTATATAGTTTTTTTTTTAATTTCTTGAAAAAAAATTGAATATTGAGATCTTGTATTGAAGGAATATATTAATATTTATTATGTAATTTGAAACAAAAATAAATTTGATGAAATTGTTAGATTTAATTGCTTAAAATATAAAAACAAAAAAAGTTCAGTTGGATAAAAATCAAATATAAAAGTTGCGCATTATGCACAATATATATATATATATATATATATATATATATATATATATATATATATATATATATATATATATATATATATATATATATATATATATATATATATATATTATACAATTATACAGCTAATATATTCATATTAGTTTAAATATAAACACTTTTTCTTACAAAATTATGTTTGTATAATCCATTGAATCATGATTTTCATCTGACTGATTTAAACCAGAAATTAAAAAAAAGAAATTAAAAAAATTTTTAAATTATCTTGTAAACATTTTGTTTTTAGTAAAACTTATATATAGGGCTTTTGTTCTAGAGTATAACTCTCATATAATTGTGGAACATCTGATATTCTACCTATAAATTTTTATTTTTTTTCATTTTAGTTTCATTAATATATTAATTGGTTGTATATTAATAAAATTCTTGTAAAGCTGTAATATATTTTTAGTTGTAAACTGGGGTATTCCTCTTGCAGCCATAGCAGATATGAAAAAAGATCCTGATATGATTAGCCCTAGAATGACATCTGGTATGCAGTTTTATTGCAGTTATTAACATTTTAATTATTCTAATAAAATGATTTTGAAAAATTTTAATTATCATTTCAATTTTAATTATCATTATCTCTTATTTTAGATTTATATTACAATCTCAAATATTTTAAAATTATATTTGCTATTTTTTTTATTATTATTACTTTTTTTTTTTAATGAATTTTTTTTTTAATTTTTTGTTTTAAATGACTTAGTTATTGATCTACGATGTGTTGTATTTGGCCGGGTGAATAAAAAAAAAGCAATTGGTTTTACTCAGATTTTTAAAGTGATTTTTCAGCTTTACAAGAATAAAAATTTGAGGATTCAATTTTTATTCATGTAAACAACGCTTTTGAAGTAATAGCTGAGCTATTACTCCAAAAGCGTTGAGTAAAAGCAATTGCTTTTTTTTTTCATCCGGCCTTATGATTATTTACTCTATTGATATAAATAAAAAATTTCTTCAAGCTATACTGGTGATTTATTAGACCAGTTCTATTTGACATAAAAACCAATGTTAGATCTTGTGATCTGATGTCGATTTTTAATTTTGTGTTTTTAAATATGGCTGAATAAAATAAAGCTAAAAGTTCATATTTTCTAAAATAAACAAACTGTTTTCAACTAATGTTTGAGTTAAAGTTTTTGGAGTAGGGAATCAGAGAATATTTTTAATAATTATTCATTGAGTAGTTATTTTTTTTAATTTTAGCATTATGCATTTATTCTGCGTTATTTATGAGATTTGCATGGAAAGTGCAACCACGTAACTTGTTATTATTTGCTTGTCATGCAACAAATGAAGGTGCTCAGCTTATTCAATTGGGAAGATGTGTGAATCACTCGTGAGTTTTATATAATATTTTATTTACATTCAAATACTTTAAATAAATCTTTATTTATATCATTAATTAATATAATTATTATATTTGTTTGGAATCTTGATTATTATTATTTTTCATTTTAAACCTTTTTTTTATTATTCGAACTTAGTATTTTTTTTTTCAAATTATCTTTATATAATTAAAAAAAAAAAAAAACATGCTAGAACTAAACTATATTATGCTAGACATGTTAGACATGTAAATAGACATGTTAGACATGTACCAATAAACATGTTAGACATGCCAATAGCAAAATATTAGCATACGCCAATTGATATTAGTATTAAAAGTCCATCAAACACCTAATTGTTTGGTTTATGGAAAAAATAAAAAAATGTTAGCATAGTACATAAAAATAAAATTTTTGCAAGAAAAGCCATTAATACTTTATTTTTCAATTTTAATTCAAGAATTTCCAATTACTTACTTGAAACTATTTTAATGGAAAGTTTTACATAAAACAATAATTCTTTTTGTTAAAATCTGTTGTTTTTTTGTTTTTGTTTTTTTTTTTTTTTCATCAACTTTAAAAACTATAATGCACATACAATTATTTCAATAACAAAATGTTTACTTTAAATTATCTGGCCTTGTTTTAAAGCGTTTTAAAGTTGTTTTCAATTTAAATAACTTAATAGATGTATCATTATTTTTTAAGTATGAATGTAATGGTAAAGAACTGTTTCCATAGTGTAGATGAAAACATGTTTTAATTGCTATATCAAGTTGCCAAATATTTGACCATTCAAAAAATAGTTTAAATGTATTGATGAGGTGTGTATTGTTATATTGTCTTGCTTTCATTGGCAAACAGCTTGATTTCATAGTCACCATCGTTACATTGTTTTAAGGTTATATTGTTTATAAAAACTAAAAATAAATTAGCACCTAAAACAGTCCCTTTAGGTATTCCACTCAATACAAAATTTTTTTTTAATATAACTTACTGTCACAAACACATTGAGAATAATTTGTTAAAAAGTTTTTAATCGAGTTTAGCAAATTTGTACTAAATACCGTAGAAATGCAGTTTGAACAGTAACTTAGTGTGAGTTTCAAAGATTCAAAGGCTTTCTCAAAGTCTATGTATGCGATATCAATAATCTTTTTGTTGATATTTATACAAAGACTTTGTATGCGATATCACCAAAACCAGTGAATCACTCATTTAAGGTTCTCAACATCTGTGTTCAGGTGGATATATGCTTTAAAAAGCCCCGTTGGTAAACAGAAGTAAATTATTAATCAATAAGTAATATGTAAGGCATTCCGCAATGACTGACTCCATGACTTTACAAACAATACAGATCAAAGAAATAGGTCTATATTATGTGGTTAAAGATAGGTTTCTTTTCTTAAAGATGGGGCATATTATAGCAGTTTTCCTGATAGCAGAAATTGCATTTTTGGCAATTCAAATAAAATAGAAAAAGAAATAGCTATTGCATTTGCAATTGATTTTTAAAATATTGCTGGGTATCCATCAGGTGATTTGGAAGACTATGATGGAAGCTTTTGCAGAGTTGACAGATATTTTTTCCATTTTTTTTAAATTCAAGTGAAATGTGAAAAATCTTATTGTGTTTTTTTTTTTGTACTTAACTTTTATAGTTTAATAAAACTTTTTGATAGCTTCGCCATAAGTCTTACCTCTTGCAAAATTCTCTTGAATTGAATCTTACCTCTTTGTTTCTTACCTCTTTTGTTGAATATTACCTCTTTCAAAAATCACCAGACTTGCGTGCTCTTTGTCAGACTAATTTAAACTTGGCTGTTTCTTCTTCAGATCTCAGTGTTGATGGGTATTATCCTTTGATTCGCTAAGACTTCAATAGTCACATGCTTGGTTTGAGGGTATACTGGCGCATCAATTCGCCTACTTGTTGAGAAATCAGGTTTGAATCCTTTGACTATTTTTTTATGTGCATTTGCTCAGTACCTCTATCCTTCTTCTTCTTACAACTGCACTCTTTAACATTTAATTTCTTATCAAATTGGCCATGTCCTTTTTCTCTACCCCTCTGTCAATATTGTTGTTATTGGAAACTTTAATACTCATTACACTGAACGGCTTGGCTCTAACACTACTGACCATGCTAGCACTAAAGCCTATAACTTCTGCATTTCTCAAAATGTAACTTAGATAGTTAATTTAATCACTCGTTTTTCAAACAATCAATTTAATCAATCAATTACTTTCACTTCTTGATTTGTGTCTTGTCATTAACCCTAGCTTAAAATCAGTTTCTTCTTTTTCTCTTTTTGGGGGTTCTGGCCATGCAATGATCTCTTTAAGTCTTTCATCCTTCTTCATACTTGCCCTATCATCGAACTTTTTTTTTTTTTTAATTCTGATTTACTCCCAACAAGGTTGCTAGCAACCACTATTAAGTTGGGAGTTACTAGAAGAAGAAAAAAAAGTTATAGAGCAAGGAAACAGTTGATAGAAGACTTAAAAAGTTGAAGGTTGAATGAGTCAGAAAAAAGTAGAAGATGGGAGAGAGTTCCAAATAGTTGAAGTGCTGGAAAAAAATTAGACAAGTTTTTGTAGCCTGCAGGGACAGATATAGTAAAAGAAAAAGACTTTAATGACTGACGAGCGAAACAACAATGAGTGAAACTAGAATAACGGAGCTAGAAGTGATAGCAGCGGTCATGGTAGTATTTGTAGAAAATAGAAAGAGATGCATCTTTACAACAATTGGAAAGAGGCTCATGCTTAGCAGATGGAGCAAGTCCAAATATGTTTACAATGCGTTTTTGGACCTTGTCTGGAAGAGAAAGAGCATCATTAGAAGAACCAGCCCAAATATGACATCTGTTTTCCATACAGGGACAGATAAGAAAATAGTTCTGCCTAATCCTTGGGAGAGGTCCCATAAAAGATCAGTCCCATAAATGAGAGATGGAATGTTAGACCTACCCTTTATCAACAGCACTGTTGAAGATATTCCAAAAGTCTCTAGAGCCCAACTTCTCAGATTTGATACGAGATTTAGTGAACTGAGAATAATGGAGCTTACCATCTGACAGCACCTTTTTTGCATCAATTTCTTGCAATAATAAACAGTGATTTGTTCTCAAGAGAGTTGTTTTTTTTTGAAAAAGATGAAAAAAAAAAAGATTACAATTAGATATAGCAGGTGCACAAGAGGGTGAAAACCATGTAGTAGAATGAGGCTTGACTTGAAAACCAACAAGAAAGAATAAAAGCTTCCATGCCTGAATCCAGGAGGTTACATAGGAGGAGCATTTTTCAGCTGAGAGGGAAAAGACATCAGCCCATGGACTTTCACGAAGAAAATCACAAAAAGAATTCCAATCAGCTTAAGGGTAGTAGTAAGTAGTGAGATGATAGTGTGAGTCCGAAAAAGAAGTACAAGATGAAAAGTTTAAAGGTACCATTGCATGGTTATAACCACCTAAGGGAGAAAAAGAAGAATCTAAACACAAACTAGGATCAGAGACAAGACATGAATCAAGGAGCAAAAGTAAATGATTAGGGTTGTCAGGAAAACTAGTTGCAAGTTAACTATCTGAGGAAAAGATTGAGAAATGCAGAAGTTTAGTGTCAGCATAGTCAGTGGCATTAGAGCCAAGCCATTCAGTGTGATTCATCTATCACCAATAACAATAATATTGGCAAAGGGGTAAAGAGAGAGAGCATGGTCAATTTGATCTGAAATTAAATGTAGAAGAGTGCAGTCTTAGGAAGAAAGAGAACGATAAAGAACAAAGAGAAAGGTGGTAGAGAGAAGAGGTGCTAAGCAAATGCTTCTAAAAGAATGGTCAAAGGATTCAAACCTTATTTCACCACAAATAAGTGAATTGATGCATATGTATACCCCTAAGCCAAGCATGTGGCTATTAAAGTCTTTGCTGATCAAAGGATAGTACCCATCAACACTGAGATCAGAGAAAAGGAATAGCAAAATTAAAATTAGTCTCACTACAAGCAAGCAAGTCTGGTGAATTTTTCAGGATGTAAGATTTAACTGATGGAAGGTTGCTTTGCAGACCACAAATATTAGTAAAATATATTAAAACAATTAGGTAGTGGGGATGGTTTTTTACATTTAACATTTTGATTTACTTTTAGCATAATTTAAGTTTAAAGAGAACTTGACTCATTCATAGATAGAGCACAGCCTCCCAAACAGTGAGCTTTGCATTTTTCTTTGTTTTTAGAATTCACTATTCTTTATTTATTTGCCCGTCTTTACAACTGTACTTCATTTATTTGCTCGTCTTTAAAACTGTACAAGGTGTACATGCACATACAAAAAAAATATGTCAAGTTAATGATCTTAATAACTTAATGATCAGTGTTCTCTTTAGTAGAATTAATGTTTTAGCATCTTTTTTAGGGAAAATTCATGTTTTAGCATCTTTTTTAGGGTTCTTAAATTATACATTTTCAAACAAAAATATAAGCCTTATATATACAATTAATATTACAGTAACTTTTGGATTGGTGTGTGTAGTAACATTGGAGGTGATGTGTGTGATAATAAAGTGTTTATGTGTTTGTTACAAGATGTCAAGTGTTATGTGTTTGGTACAAGATGTCAAGTGTTATGTGTTTGTTACAAGATGTCAAGTGTTATGTGTTTGTTACAAGATGTGTTTATTTTATTTTTTAGATTAAAGGAAAAGAAGAGCTCTTAAACTGTTTCAAGAGACACCAACATATACCAACATATACCATAATTTAGAATTTCATTTTTAAATATTTCACATGTTATATAACCTATTATTAATTTTTTTTTTTTAATTTTATTTTGTTACTTTTTCAAGTCTTAGAGAAATTAAATACCACATAATAAGTTAAGTAGTAAGTTAAATATTTTTTGAATATTTTTGAAGTTTGTAAGTAAATTGTGTTAATATGCTTTTTTTACTGCATTTTTTCAATATTGTATTTTATGTTATGTGAAAACCTGAATAGTCTTTTTCGTTGTTTTGAAGTTTGTTTAAAAAATTTGTCTGAAAGTCTGTGGTACGATATTCTTGGCTAAATTCATGGATTATTATGGCCACTTAACCTTTTCAGTCTGGTAGTAAAGGGCTTAACTAAGAGTATTAGCAATGGGTATTTTGGCGTTAAATACGAAGTTTGCTTTAATGTCGGGTTATCAGTTCTAATAAAAATATTATATATATTCGTTAAATTACGTTTAAAAGTAAGTTATTGAATGTTTTTAGAATTTAATAACTTACTTTTAAAGATATATAAGTTAGTAACTTATTGTATGTTTTTGCATTATAATTAAACTTATAGATGTAGTTCAATGTATATAATTCAATTCAAACTTAATGAATATTTTTGTGTATAGTAAAACACCCAAACTGTAATTCAATTTACAACAATTTTATTACCTTGTATTAACTACCTACTTCATGTCTACCTGCTTAATCTGTCTATCGTATCTGATTTAATAGAAACACTCTAAAAGTGAGTTACATTAGAATGCCAGACATCAAGTCAATCGTTAACTCGCTTAACTATTATGTAATGAAAAACAACAACCCAGGTTGCAATAAAAATTGCAGTCAACAATGCCTTGTAAATAACATATCTATACACAGACGCTCCAGATAAGAATTAAAAATTGTATTTTAGAATTTAGTGAAAACAGCATTTAAAATTGGATAGGCTAACATAGAAAATCTTTCAATATCGAAAAATATTACTGTGCTTTCTAAGTGGGAAAAATTTTAAAAATTCGACGAATTGGAAGATTGTAAAATGTTGTAGATCTTACAATTCCAAAACCAAACGATGCAACCTATCTACATGAAGGTGTCACTTAAATTATTGAAATATAGTCAATGATGTGACACTAAAAAATATGTATTATAAAAACAAAGAGAATTAAAAAATATGAAAGATAAAGAAAGAAAACTAACATAATAGTAAAATAAAATTAAATGCACCAATATAAAATGACATTAAATATAGAAACTATAATAAAAATTACAACTAATAATAAAACTATGGTAAAAACAATTTAAAATTATGATAACATCTATAAAAATAACATCAACGATTGCAAAAATAATTATAACGATAATAATAAATTACCACAACATAACCACTTTTTAAATAATATTATTAAGGCAACTAAAACAAGTGTTTTATTAATAATACAAATAAAATGAAATATAGTAAAATAAAATACTTTTAGGTGCAAAGAATATTTTTTATAGTGAGCAATTTGGGTCTAAAAAGAGTTACTCTACTGATGAGGCTATTGTTCATCTTGTTCATGATATCTTTAAATCATTTGATGAAAATAAATATACATTAAGTGTATTTATTGATCTCAGTAAGGCTTTTCACACTGTCGATTTTTTTAACAAAATTAGAAGCTAAAACAACCAATATGAACATAACATGTGGGGTTCTTTAGGAATCTACATTATAACAACTCAATTTTTTCTCATTTATATAATTGATTTAAGCAAAGCTTGAATTGAATTAAATACAATTTTGTTTGCAGATGACACAAATCTATTTTTTGCATGATACAATCATGATACAAATGTTTACACGTGGTCACACCCCAAAAACCACGTAAAAGTAGGAGAGTATAGAACTTTTTTCTAATAGCATATAATAATTTTTTTTATCATTCTTATTGAAAGATATATCTAAAAGAGGTTCTTTCTAATAGGTATGGTTTGCTAAGTTTTGCATGTGTTCTTTTGCTAGATTGTTGAAGTTGACTACTTTTGTCGCCATGCACCCCAAAAACCACATTAAATAAATTGGCTATAATTTTCTAACAATTAAAAACTATATCCTGATTTTTTGAAGAAGATTGTTATAATAAATTGCACTTTGGATGATTGCATCACTGCTAACTTATACTTTGAGGAACACTTCAAATGTACTACAAAAACCAAATCACATGCACCCCAAAAACCACAATGGTTTATTGATGGTTTTGGAAAGGATTTGAAATAATTTAATAAAATATTTATATAGTTTACTACCAAATATTTATATAGTTTTTATATAATAAAACTAAATAATTATATAGTAATTTATAATTATATTTATATAATTATTTATATAATTATTTTATATAATATATATTTATAATAATACCAACTCCCTTTACTGAGAAACAAGAGCAATCGGTAACACCAGATCTTATTTACACTTTAGGGTAGATTAGGGTGATATGAGCATACTTCAAGATTTCTTATATATTTCACTTTATTTATGTCTTATGGCTGTCAAGGCTAAACGCACCTTTTGGGCCAAGTACATTATTGCAGGTCGCGAAACGCACAAATTGCTCAAAAAATCACATCGTACCGCATGCAAAAACATTACTAAAATAGTAAAATCTGCTAAGCACAACTACAAAGAGAAACTCGCTAGAGAGTTCAGATGCAAGCCTAAGCAAAGAAAGCTAGCAACAGCTAGTAGCAATATCACAACCAATACCGGCGATATATGCTCATTGACTTTAACTATTTTCAACTGTTTTCATTCCTTTTTAAAAGTTGTACTGAAGCTATTGTATCATCGACCTAGCAAGTTTTTTTATTAATGTAGTACAAAAGTGCCTCAACCACCTTGATAAATGAAAGTCAACATGGTATGTTGACTTTCTTTTTTTGGCTTACATCCACGAGTCCTTAGCCAAACCTCTTTTGCTTATCTATAATTCCTCGTTTGCGACTGGTGTAGTTCCCAACTTATGGAGAAAATCAAATGTAACGCCTTTTTTCCAGAAAGGGAGTAAACTAGTGGCATCAAACTACCGGTCTATCTTGCTCTTATTCATTCCATGCAAAATGATGGAAAGTAGTTTTCAAAAAGCATCATGGAACACTGTGTTGCTAATGGCTTAATTACTTCTAAGCACCATGAATCTGTTCACTGCAAGTGTTTTGTCTTAAACCTGATAAAAACTTGGGACTTCATGACAGAAGCAATTAACTTCAGCCACGCAGTAGACGTCATATACATAGACTTTGCGAAGGTGTTTGACTAAGTGCCGCATAAATGCCTTCTATATAAGTTAGAAACCTACGGTATTCAAGGCGCGCTCTTAAACTAGATCTCAGCTTGGTTACGCAACCAAAGTCAACGAGTGGTCATCAACAGCATCATATTTGAATGACAATCAGTCACTAGTAGCATGTCTCAAGGTTCGATTTTGAGTCCTTTGCTCTTCGTAGTCTTCATTAACGACTTGCCAGATAGCATCTCTCATCATTTGAAGCTGTGTGCTGACGACCGTAAAATTATTGGCATAATTAAAAACAAGTCGGAAAGCATCTCTCTTTCAGCTGACATTGACAGAGCAGTTGAATAGTCACATATTTGACTCATGCATTTCAACATAGAGAAATCTGCTATTTTACGCAGTAAAAGAGCAGATTTTATCAAGCAATTTAATATCACTCGTCAACTCCAACTTCTCAGTTTTATTGTCCCGCGAAAACTTTTAAACAGTAAAGTATACTTTGAGAGGGGAAAACCAAAAACTGGAACCACTATTGTTCTTGATTTATATAAACGACCTAAATAAAGCCACGAATTTAACGAGTATCATGTTTGCTGATGACACTTACTTATTCTTTTCCGATAATGACGTTTACAAATTCTTCTGTACTACAATTGATAAACTTAAAAGTATATCTAAATGGTTTAAATGCAACAACTAACTCTTAACATTAAAAAAACAAATTGGGTTCTTTTCCACCCAGTCACAAAAAAAACTTATTTACCCCGAAGTTTGCCTAAAATTTTTATTGATGATGTTGAGGTAAAAAGACATAATATAACAAAGTTCTTAGGTGTTTTTCTTGATGAAAAATCACATGGAAAATGCATTTCGATTAAATTGGTAAAAAAAAAAAAATTAAATATTGGAATTTAATATAAAAGCAGAACATATTTATGCAAAAAAAGTCTAACCCAACTTTATTACTCATTAATTCATATTTATTTAAATTATTCTAATGTTGCATGGGCAAGCGTTGAAAAAAGTAAGTTGAAATGCCTTTATCGCCGTCAGAAACATGCGATCCGTTTAATGAATTTTGCGGATCGATACATTCCAAACCATTTTTTATTGAAATAAAAGTTCTCAATACTTATAAGCATAATGTTTTTAATATTTTGTGCTTTATGTATATGTGGAAAAATGACATATCTTTATGTTTTCAAAGATCTCTTTTGTTTGAAACCAATAGATAAATATACACTTAGAAACAATAATTTTATATATGAGCCCATTTGTCGAACCAAGTTTAATCAGTTTTGTATTACATATCTCGGAAATAGAACTGTTTTTTCTAATTTCAATATGCATTTTACTTTACCCATTTTCAAACATAAACTGAAAAATTTAATTATCTTAACGGATGATCTAGTCAGGTTCTTTTAATTGTAATTTTATATTTTCTTTTAGAAATTTTATTGTTAATTACGCTTTATTTTGTTGATTTGTATACATTATTTTTATTTTGTTTTGATGCAGTTTATATATATACGCTTACAACAAATGTAAACTAAAAAAATATTTAAAATTAAAAAAAAAACTAGAACTTCAGCTTGTACAAAATTGTAAAGAACGTCTTAACTTTTTTTCAAATAGAGTTGTTGTCCCATGGAATGCGTTTTCCCAGCAGCGAACGGTCCATCAATTAATGCTTTCAAAGACAGCGTAACTAAGTAACTTTTAGAGATACATTTGCTGCTTTGTCTGTAGTTTCTGTGTATTAAGTTTTTGAGGTTTTTGGATAATTAGGAGCAACTTGGTGTCATCCGTAAAGTAATAAGCAGTAGAAAATTCAAGTGAAACATTCAAATCATTAACAAATATAAGAAAAAGTAATGGTTTTTTAAGCGAGGCTTGTGGAACAATATTAAAAGATTTAACTAGTTCTGAGTTAATACCATTAGTTGAAACAAATTGTGTTCTATTGCAAAAAGTAAATGGAAAACCAGAGAAAAGGAATAGTTCTAGTTGCAGTTTGTCAATGATGATTGTGTGCTCAACTGTATCAAATGATTTTTATGTCAATTATTTTACGGGTAATTTAATAAAATATAAATATCGGCTTATTGCCAATTATTTCGGAGTTATAGAGTTGAGAGAGGGTTATAACCACAAATAAGTAGCCTCCTTGTCTGTAGTGGCCTTCTCGGCTTTGAGGAGGTGAATTAAATAAAATTAAAAAAATAAAAAATTATTTTACACACTAGTGTTTATTGTCTTATCTAATTTTCTCTGTTCTTTTAACAAATTCTTTTAACAAATAAGTTGTTGAGTGTTTGTTGCAAAAACC